AGAGAGAGAGAGATTGGCATTTTCAATCAATTCACCATTAAAGGTCGCACAACCAACCAATTGTTTAGAGGTTGAGAGTTTTAGAGAAAATTGTGCACATGAAGGCCAAAAAAAAATCTAAGACCATAATTGGAATTGGAAGAGGAGACCTTTTCTATTTCTCCCACTGGAATGGATCAGAGCCACTAAGGATGTTTGGGATGAGGTGGTGCATTGTAGCGAGCTTTCGGAAGAATGTCAGTGTTTAGTTTTCCATTGATGGTAAAGTGAAGACATCTAAAGGAGGCTGAGGCGCTTAGGGTTGACTCCCCCTTCCCTGCTAGCACTTGAAGGGTCACTATGAGAGGTATAACTTCAGATCGGAATGAAGATGGAATGTGGGGTTTAGGTAGGGACAAGAGAAGGCGCATTTTGAGGGGCCTCTCATGGCATCAACACAAAACTGGAACTTTGGAGGGATGCTCTAGAATCTAAATATTTTAAAATTAGCAGGATTAAGATAAAATATATGGAATTCAGGTTCAGTAATAGGAGTAGAGACGAGGAAGTAGTATAGATTGACGGCCAAGAAATTTCAAAAAGAGCGTACTTTGGATATCTTGGGTCGATAATCTAAGAGAATAGGGGATTGGGGAAGATGTCGCACATAGAATTAGAGCTGGGTAGGCGAAGTGGAGATGTGCAAACATAATTTTATATTAGCGCCATACGCCATTGAAGTTGAAGGGCAAGTTCTATAAGACACTTGTGAGACCCTTTGCTCTATGTTGTAAAATGTTGGGTAGTAAAAAAAAATATCCCATAGAATGAGTGTAGCAGAGATGAGGATGTTGGGATAGATGAGTGACAATACAAGAAGGGATAAATTTAAAATGAATACATTCAGGAAAATTTAGGTGTACACCAATAGGCAATAAGATGAGAGAGAGTAGACTTAAGTGGGAATACAACACCTATTAGGAGGTGCTAGTCAGTTCAAGTCGAAAGCTCAAAAAGGGTAAGGGGTGGGCTCAAAAGGATATGGTTGGAAGTAGTGAGGAAAGATATGGGGACTTACAACCTCATTGAGGGTATGACCCTTAGTAGAGCATAATGGCGGACCGAGATTTGTGGAGCCGACCCCAATTAGTTGGGAAAAGGCTTTGACGATGATGATTTCTTAATTCCTTTAATTATGTAATTTAGATAGATAATACAGCTAGTGCTAGTGATAGGAGAGCAAATGGTTGCAATCATATAAAACATTATTGATACTTTAAAAAGAAAATAAGATTATCTTTAAAGTACTTTTACAACTTTAAAACAAGAGTTTCCTAATTTTTCAATGTGTTGTACCCTTCTAGTCCTAACTCTTTCCATTCTCTAGTTCGAAGATTCTACAGACCAATTAAAAGAAAAATACTCCAACAAATCATGCAAAACCAGTTCTAGCTGATAGATAACACATCTCATTGTGATCCAAGAGATCAAATCTTCAAACTTTGATACTTCGCAATTAATTTGTTTATAGCTAGAACAATAAGTAGGATACCCATTTCAATCCTATGATCATAGAGAGAGTACCAAGGTACCTTTCTTATTTATGGGTTTTGTTAGAGTACTTCTTCACATGGAGTATTTCCTTAATGTACTCATCATTTTTGGACACTCATTATTTAAAATGCAAAATGTTTTAGCAAGGTATTTTTCATTATTAGGAGGGATAGAACAAGTATTTTAATAAGAAACTAGTGGCATTCTATTAGCGGTTAAAGAGAAATTAATATTCCATATGGGTGATATTACACATCATGTCGATGATGTCATTCTCCATTATAGATAATAAATGTTTTAAAAATGACATCATATTACCATGCCCTTATAACATAATGAAATCACACTTCTAAGAAACCATGTTTGTGGTATTTGTATGACCAAAATTAGATATCACACTCTCTTCATCTCAATAAATAATAATAATAATTTGCACCCTATATATGGTCAAAATGAGTCCTTTCCAACAATGAATCTAGACCGTCCATTTAGTGAATTTCAAGATAAAAGAGTTTAAAATCAATTTTTTGTTTTTCGATGTTGCTAATCTAATGATAATAAAGTCATCTAAAAATTTTGGAATGAAAAAAGATCATTATCAGACTTTAGATCTAAACATCTCACCAAAA